GATGTGGGGGTTATTTCACAGCTGGTTTTATCACCGGCAGACGTGCAGATCACTACAAAGACCCAAACGACGTCAAAGAGCAAAGTGTTCGTGCGAGACTAAGGAAGGGTCGATCAAAACAGCGATAACTAACGTGGCCCCTCAATAGCAACTGAATTATAAATGTAATAAATTTACTCTCCTTGCCTGCTCTGTATGATTTGATCTATAGCTACTCAAGACACTAAACATCCGCTCCGTCCTCGGTAACTACGGGTAACGATACGTCGAGTGATGAGATGCCGGTGCCAGTAGAGCCAAACTGCTCGGAACTGACACGCCTCCGCTTGTTTGCGCTGCTGGGATTTCCACTGGTCGACTTGCGTTTCGTGCTGGAACCGATGGTGCGATGGACAGAAGCTGGCGTTGAGAATGTCGCAAACTGGTCGTCGACTTTATCGTCCGCATCTATCCATAAGCACTTTCGGAAAGCAGCCATGATCGCTTTATGAGTAGACAATGTTGCTCTCGAGGGACTGCGTACCGCCAGGGTCTCGGATACTATGGGAACTGCTTCCGCGGTTTCCTCATCTTCACTCTCATCAGCATCCTGAGGCACGTTGCGCTGCACCGGTTGGCTCCTGGTTATGCTTGGCACTGCCTGTGGAACGACAGCCTGATAATGTTCCTTGCATACTTCAGCGAGTGCCATGGTGAGCATCTCGAGCGGCGCACTGACGATAGGACCGAAGGGGATGTGACCGCCATTCATGTGGTAGAATTTAAGGTCGCCACCCACATCGCCAGCGGCCCCTGTAGTGTATGCATCGTAGGTGCCTGTGACGTGCGTTTTCAGAACTTCAGGGTCCCCACTCAACCCATGCTCATGATAGCGGAGGACAAGCCAATTAGTGAGGTGGACAAATGATTCGAGGTCGTCAGAGACCTCTTGGAGCTTCTTCGGGTCCTTCAACAATAACGCAGACATAAACTGCCACGTTCCCTGTACAAATGTGTATAAGATGCGAAAAGAGACGTCCCAGAGCACAACATACCGAGCGCTGAGGCTGAATAGGCCCGTTTTTCAGGTCATCCTTGTACTTGCATAAATCCCAGTCGTTGAGTATGCCACGAAACGACGTTCCGTCCCATTCTATCATGACGTTTCCGACACTGATGTCGCGGTGAAGAATTCTGGCCCTCTCCCAAGCATCCCGATGACCTATTCATGTGTTTAGTAACGAAGAGCACGCAATACAGAATTACTTACTACGGAGTGCGTCGTACAACACTTTGATCAGCTGCCTAGAGTCCTTATAATCTTGAAGCGGTTGGCAGACTTCATAAACGATGAGTCGATACTGAACTCGAGCCGACTCATTCGTTTTCAGGTACTTCTGAGTCTCAGTGACATGGAAAACAGCCCCGCCATCGGACCTGAGCGCGCGGACATCACCGCCACAGAGGGGAGTGACGATGTTCTTCACTTGATGTTTCCACAGATCTTCATACACCTGGCGTTCCGTAGGCACGCGGGAAGATTTGACACGCCACGTATCCTTCACGAACACCAGCTTCTTCAAGAACATGTCGAATGCAACGTAGCCTTTTGTCGCCCGTCCTGTGGGCGAATAGCTGGCTGCGCGATACTTGCCAACAATGAATGTGAAGCGTTTCTCATCTTCGTGTGACTTGGTTTTCTCCGACACGTCCGAGCTTTCCTCAGGGCCTTCCCCCGAGCGCTGGGTACCTGACAGTCGTTCAGCCGACTCTTTCGTACGAGGCATAAGATCATTGTCTATAACGTCGTCTCGATGTACGGTAACTTCATAAAGCGGCCAGGTCGTTTGGTGAGAGAGCGCATCTTCGAAACATTTCTTGTGATAGCCCGAAAGCCCTTCAACGTGCTCCTTCATCTCCTCGACGTATTCCGCACGAGCAAGCTTAACGGTCGGGTCGAAACCGCGCTGTGCACTGTCCATGTTACCAAACCGATAGAAGAAGTTCTGCAACATCCCCGGATCCGCCACAAAGTCGAAATCCTTCGACACGACTGCCCCTACTCGGTCCCAGCGCAGCAGACGTGCATGCCGCCCCGCAACGACGATCATGAAACAAAACAGTCGGTGCTGGCGTCGCATCAGATTCGCCGCGTAGTCGCTAATTTGTCCCCGACCAATAGAGCCTCCGGAAGTGGGGCGGAGGAAGCCCTCCTGGCCGAAGTAGAATGGCCGCTCAGTGTGGCGTGTCGACTTGAGCTCTATCGGCAGCAACGACCACGCCCACGATGTGTGCGCCCCGTATAGCTGCTGCGATTTGCTTTTTTTCTTCAGATCTGCATCAGCGAGCTTGTACGCGCGCTCAGCTGCATCAGTGGTCGGGTATATGGTCACGTCGGGTTTCTTCTGAGTCTGGCTGTCCTTGTCAGAGAAATCAGGCCAGTTTCCTGTCGCCTTCGCAGCAAGTCTGTCTTTCGAGCACGTATCGAGGACGGATTGTATCACCTCACACTATGGAACGCCATATTGAGCCGGTGTTAAGGATCGGCATCGAGAGTACCACTCACCATATTTGGGTACATATGTGACTCTGTCCGTTTGTAACATTCATCCGCGAATGATACGAATTTCTCTTGTACCTGCTCATCGGGATCTATACCGGGAACGAACGCGTCCATGAAGGTCTCGACGGAGACTTCCACGAATTGATCGTCCATCTCTTTGGCCAGTCGACGTTTGACGTCCTCCAAACGCTTCTTGGAAACCGAGTTTTGATGGTAGCTCGATTGCTTCAGGCTTCGAGGTGTTGACTCGGGAATTGGCACCGGCTCAGCCGGTTGATGAGGCGGTGGTGTCTTTGGTTGTGCAAGGACAGTAGGAGGAAAAATGTCAGACATAATAAAAAATACCAAAGGAGATTGACGAAACATACTTGATTTACAGCCCGCTATTTGTAGATTTGGGAACGGCCACAAGCTTCAAGCCACTGGACACGGCCACACGAGAGCCGCGTCTTAAGCAGTGGCCAGTGATGCCTCTGAGTTTGAAAGGTTGAGAAATGAGTTGGTTGTTGAATGCATGGCCAAAAACGTACAAGGGATCCTCGGACAAAAGGGTTCCATGCCCCGGGCCAGCATTGTGGCCACTTGTTCAAGTTGGGCAAGCCACTTTGATGGCGACGCGATCACGTGGTCAATGCAAACGCGATCGTGGGGAAATGTCGTCGGGCCCAACCGTCAACTTAGTGCCAGACTGTGGATCAAGACAAATTTCGGGACGATGGAAAAGCTACAATGTCATAAAGGAAGCTGATAACAGGAGAATTTCACAAGTAGCAGTGCATCCTACTTGTCGACACTACGACTAAGTCTTGACTCATGAGTTTAGGATCCCAAAAAAGACACAAATCGAAGTAACGAAATCATGTAGGTGCAAAAACAATGGGTGAACTCATAGCAGTCGGGGATCTACGAGTATTGGGGACAGCTGAGATGTGGATTCCCCACTCAAAGAATTCTGTATTGCCAGAGACGTATGCAAATGTCCAGCCTAGCACAGTGGCTTGTCCAACCTGATCTAATGATCACAATTGGCCGACATGCTGAAACCGCTGAAGACATTCGGCAATGTGGCTACATCAATTGCGCAGGTATACTGCCAGACACGTTGTTGATGGGTCTAGTTTGACCACGTCCCACAGCTCAATCCCTGTGCAACTATAACCGTCGGGGTGTCACTGTCTGCGTCTGAAGTATGGCGCTCTTTATATCCTTAAATGACTCTTTTTAATAGGCCATTATGAAACGAAAAGAGCGCGAGGACGATGTGAAGGAGCTGTTTTCGAAAGTCTTGAACGTTTATAATAATTTGATGACAAAAAGAAAAGAACAAACTGTGGGCCTGTCTATGGGTAGGGTATTGATGGATCTCACGCAACAAGTACGGGTTTGTGCCGGATTGTTCGTTACACGAAGAACAAGAGTTACTGTGGGTGGCCTTCGCTACACGATCTTCTTACGATCTCTCATGTTGCCGGTTTGCAGGGTTAAGGTTGTTTGAGAGCGCTAGGAAGAATACAGACGCAGTGATCAAAGAGTACAACGCAGCCCTCGACGAGCAGATGCAAATGTTCCGCGACCAACATGCTGTTGAGACGACGACCTCACTTGTGTATCGCATCGGTAAGAGTGAATATAAATGCCCTAGAGCAGGCCTAATACTCAATGATAACGACGCAGCTGAAGACATAAACTTGAACGATATGGAATACGCGAAAGGTGTCTCCCTCAACACGTCCAAAAAGTGTCTCGAGGGCACGCGGGAGGTGATACACTCTCAGATTGAAGACTGGGTTCAAAGGTACTAGAGACGTCGAGCAAATTATGTGGTTATCGGGCATGGCGGGAAAGGGGAAATCAGCGATTGCTCACACCGTTGCCAATTGGGCCACGACTATTGGGTGTCTGGGATCTTGTTTCTGTTCCGACCAGACACGAGAAGCAAATCGTCTTCAGGAGAAGATGTTTGCCACCATTGCTCGGGACTTGGCTGACCACGATCCTCTTGTGCGTCAGGCGCTGGCAGACGTAATCCGTGTCAGCGCCGAACTCAGGCACACATCGGACATACGAAGACAGTGGCTAGAACTAGTCCTTGGGCTGATCTGTGCAGCCTCGAATGTGGTTCGTGCGCCTGTCGTTGTCTTAATTGACGCGTTGAACGAAAGCGGTGGACGGGAGATCCGTGAGGAAATTCTTCGTGTGCTTTCTGGAAGACAAGATAGGTTCTCACCTCCCTCAACCGAGCTACCATCAAATGTTCGGATCCTCGTAACATCTCGGCCGCTGCAAGATATCAAAGATGCACTAGAGGAGGCTTCGCATATTCGGCGTCTATCCTTGCATGACATCCCTCTGGACGATTCAGCGCGCGATATTGGGAACTATATCGTTCACAAGCTCAGGTACCCCTCAATAACATTTGACGATATTCGCTTTCAATCGCTTGCGCAGAATGCGGACAGGGTCTTTGAATGGGCTCGTCTCGCGTGCTGGTACATCAAGATTGACAGTCTGCCGGGACTAGATGTTAATGGTCGCTTTGATTCAATAATTGCTGGAACGTCGACCACAGGAATCCAGCTGTTAGATAATATGTACGAACGCGTTCTGGAAGGGATCATGCCGAAGAGCGTGCGCCAGGATACTATCCCTCTGTTTCGCTCGGTGATGGGGCAAATCATCTCCTTGTCGGAGCCGCTGCCTGTAGTCGCGCTCGCTGAAATGCGGAAACGATATCTATGTGAGAGTACAATACCAGTAGAACCAACCACCAAGTCGTTGAGTGCGCTACTCACCGGTACTCCAGAAGGCCAAATACCCGTCCGCTCACTCCATGCATCCTTCTACGATTTCCTGATAGATAAAGACCGAGGTGGTATTTTCTATGTGGAAACAACAGAGGCATAACATTACCGACTCGCCTTCGCGTGTCTTGGTGTGATGAGGGATGAACTACGATTCAACATCTGCAAGCTGGAGAGCTCTTATGTACCGGACTCAGGCGTAGGTGACTTGCCAGAGCGCATCAAAAACTTCATTTTTTCTCAGTTACATTACTCCTGTCGATTCTGGACGTCTCACATTTTGACCGTGTCTATCACGACATCTCCGACATATGAAATCGGGCTCTTCTTCGAGGAGAGAGTACTGTTCTGGCTCGAGGTGCTGAGTCTTACGCAGCTCAGTGGCATTCTCCCCTGATGGACGACACATTGTGTCCTGATCTAGGGACAAGACAATCCGTGTGTGAGATGCGCAGACAGGGGTGAAATCACTCCCTGTTCTCAAGGGTCATGCGTACAGGGTCTTCTCTGTTGCATTCTCCTCTGATGGACGACACATTGTGTCCGGATCTTGGGACAAGACAATCCGTGTATGGAATGCACAGACGGGGGTGCAATCGCTCCCTGCTCCCGAGGGTCATAGGCTCAGCGTGAACTTTGTTGCACTCTCCTCTGATAGACAACACATTGTGTCCAGATCTGACGGCAATACAATCCATGTGTGGGATGTGCAGACAGGGGTGCAATCGCTGCCTACTCTCGAGGGTCATACGAACGACATGACCTGTGTTGCATTCTCGCCTGATGGACGGCACATTGCGTCCATATATGACGACAACACAATCCGTAAGTGATGCGCAGACGGGGTTGCAATCACTCCCTACTCTCGAGGGTCATACGAACGGAGTCTTGTCTGTTACATTCTCGCCTGATGGATGACACATCGCGTCCGGATCTTGGGACAAGACAATCCACGTACTGGATGCGCAGACGGGGCTGCAATCGCTCCCTGCTCTTGCAGGTCATACGGCCAGTGTCCATTCTGTTGCATTCCCCCCTTATGGACGACACGCTGTGTCTGGATCTTTCGACAACACCCTCCGTGTCTGGGATGCGCAGACAGGGGTGCAATCGCTCCTTGCTCTTGTGGATCATACGGAATGCGTGAACTCTTGTCGCATTCTCCCCCGATGGACGATACATTGTGTCCGGATCTTGAGACAAGACAATCCGTGTATGGGATATACAGACGGGTGTATAATCGTTATCTGCTGTTGGAGATCATACGTGCGATGACCTGTCTGTTGTAGTCTCACCTGATTCCCCGCTCACAGCGTCTGCATCGAGGCCAGGAGCATTAGATCTATGCAACACACATAATTGTAAGTTTCGTATTCTCTTCTGTACGTGTAGTGATCTGAAACTACTTCGATGCGCGTGTTGTCGTGCCAGATATAACAGTCGTTGGCCGCTGTTCCTTCCCACCTGCTATTCTTCCGAGCTCACCCATGCTCAAAAATATTCGGATCGGTTTTGGCGAAAATCTGCGCCGTATCATGTTTTCCCTGATGAGGAGGGTAGGCTTGTAGGTCCTAAAAGCCACTTTCGTTGCTGGCTTCCAGTTCACCACATAGACCGCATACGAATGTATGCTTCAAAGAATGTACTGGTCATTACCAACGATGGACTGCGGCTGGACCTCAGTCGGCTTGCACATTGCGCAGCTCTTCAACACTTGAACTAGCATCTGGTGGTGTGTATGGTCGCTTTGAAGAGATCATTCGTTTGGGCGACTTCGAACTTGAGACTGCGAGTGGATTGAGCGCGTCACCGTAGAGACATCGAGGTGCGCTCCACACGTTCAGTTAGCTCGATATCGACTTTCACTTGCTGTCCGCCGGATACAGAAGTGAACACGAGTGTTGGGCAGTGGGGCGGCAAGAGCGACGATCATTGTGAAGGTACGCAGCTATCCTATACCGTATTTTACCTTTTGGAAGATGGGACGTTTCAAGGTGTCTGTGTGATTCTCCACATTCGCATGACTTGCTGATATATAGATCCAGAGGCATTTTCTGCCCATCAGCGGGTGAAAGATGTAGGACCTTTATGGCAGGAGCGTGCTTTCTAGCCTGTATCGCGGCCGTCTCCGGCTTTGACATCTATTGGTATTTTATGACGCGGAATCCACGAAGATGCCAAGCGTGCTATCGTGCATGCACGGCAAAATTTTGGTACAGTATTGATTTTATCAGATAGTGGAGAGTTGAGCATGTCAAGCGCTTAGTGGAACCTTACTGTATGTATGAACGGAATCTCCTATGCACTAGGTTGTGGCTCACCGAAAAACTAGTCACCCTGTCGTTTCCGGCAGGGGTGCGCTGAGAAGCTGTGACAGAGATGATGTCCGAGACAACACTGAAGTCGCGCAATTTGTGGGCAAGATGCTGACTTGTCCTTCGACTACGCCCTCACTCTCCGTCCCGAAACTTCGTCGTATATGGTTTTCCGTAAGCTGGTGATGCCTTCAAGTTCGAGAGATGATAAATGTGTTAATTGTCAAGTGCATGGCCAAGGACGTACAAGGGACTCGGACGAAAGGGCTCAATGCGCACAAACCATTGCGATGATTGGATGTCTCCGAGACCGTTGTTTGCAATCACCAGTTAGGTGTCTAACAGATCCTCGTTGTTTACCGATATCAGACGTTCACCACGCTGTCTGGAGATGTCAACCTCCTGTGAACCTTTGACTGTATTCGTGGTAATGCTGTCTGTACACGTGGGAATGTGGGATTCCACGTCTTCGTTATCATGCATAGATCCATTGGAATGCAGCTGATGCTACTGAGATCGAAGTCACAGACTAGTGAAGCCAACTTTCAAGCTGTACTTACATGAGGGTTTATCACAGTAGGCTCAGTATACTGGCCAGAAGCGGTAGGGGAAAGCACAGACGTCGGCGACGGACCTCGACCGAATGACAAGCGAAAATTTTTGAAAAAGCCGTTGTGAGATGGAGACACTGACGAGGAAACGACCTACACCGACTGAGTTCGATAGATTTATGCAAAATATGACAAAGAGACAGATGCCTACATGCTCTGTAATGGCCACATTCTTTCCTTTTCCTCGATCTTGCTCAGAAGTTGACCGATTGATTCTTAGTCGAAAATTTTGCTTCCTAGGGGATGCATCGTTATTGCTCATGCTTGACGTTCACGCGTCTGCACGAGGCGTGCCAGAATGTGCAAGAGACAAGTGGGCGTCTACTACGAGAACTTGATTTATAGCTAGCAAGGAAGACCCCACGAATAACGCGTTCAGCGTGAATTCATCTCGATGCGATACCAATACTTACTGAGTAGCGGGGGATCAAGAGTTGTAGGGTCAAGAGCTGTGCGAGAAGAGGGTGAGAGAGGCAATAAAGACGACAACACCAAGCGCCGCTGCCAGCTACAGCCTCATTCTATGGGCATCACCGTGTAGTTCGTTTGATAGCATCTCCGCATTCAATCAAAAGAGGGTAGTATATCATTTGTAGACGACGCTCCTCGAGCCTAGTGCGAGCGGGTGGCTGGCGATAAAGGAGGATACATTAGCAAAAGTGCTAACACCGCAGACATGGGTCTGATTGCATTTCTCTCATATTTGATATATATTCGGTTTTATATTACTACCAATGCAACCAAGTAAACTACTCATAAATATTTATAAGCATATTATAAATTTGAATCAGAGTATATAGTCATCAATATCTAATTCACTATTTGGAGGAAAGGTACATTACATATTATGATAGAATCATTCTCATTGGTTACTGTCAATTTTATAAGTGAAATGTCCGACGTGCGAGATAGAGGAAGGGTCTAACCAAGACCAAGACGGCCTATGAGTGCAATGAATCTACTCCAACTCAACAGCCACCACAGCCACTGTACTATAGTTCAAACATCTTGGTCCTCGGGAATCACCAGCAATGATAGGTCGAGTGATGAGGCGCTGGTCCTAGTAGAGCCAAACCGCTCAGAACTGGCACGCCTCACTACTGGGGTTTCCACTGGTCGACTTGCGTTTCGTCTTTCTGGAACTGATGCTACGGTGGACGGAAGTAGGCGCCGAGAATGTCGCGAACTGGTCGTCAATTTTATCGTCCGCATCTATCCATAAGCACTTCCGGAAAGCAGCCATGATTGCTTCATGAGTAGACAATGTCGCTCTTGAGTGACTGCGTATCGCCAGGGTCTCGGATACTATGGGAACTGCCTCCGCGGTTTCCTCATCTTCACTTTCATCAGCATCCTGGGGCACGTTGCGCTGCACCGGCTGGCTCCTGATTATGCTTGGCACTACCTGTGGAACGACAGCCTGATAGTGTTCCTTGCATACTTCAGCGAGTGCCGTGGTGAGCATCTCGAGCGGCGCACTGACGATAGGACCGAAGGGGATGTGAAAAGGAAGAGCGGAATAAGGTAATTTTTGAAGCAAGGATCATCATGGTGACTTGAGCGCATATTGTCAGTGGGATATGAAGAGGTGAGGGGCATGATATGACCGTTTTCGGTGTGACATGCAGAACATGATGGCCGCGGTCGGGAAGGAGAAGTACTCGCTTCTTGAGTTCCTAAACTCAGTCTCCAGATGTGACTCTTGTTCCTTCCGAATACCACTCACCTAACCAAGTCGCTAGTCGCTGTAGTTCCGAATGTGGCTTGGCCATACGACGTGCGTGTGCGGGAATACCACGACCGTCAATTACTAATATCAAGACGCATTATGGAGAGTATGGTCGAGTCAGGGACCACTCAGTTTCCGTCGTATAGGTTGACGGAGAGAACAACGAGGGGATACAGGAGTGTTAACTAACCCAGAGAACAACTCGTTCGTGTTCTGTGATGTCGAGCTGGACCAACATCGCCCGCACGGCCATACTGGCATTTGAGGTGGCTAGAGCACATTCACAGCAAGTGGCGCCCGGTCCTGCAAGTCCAACGTTTCCGTCCAAGTCACAAGCTCGTTGCCCGCTGTGTGCAAGTGTTGTTCGGCATAGTAGTGAACGAGAGACTCGGGAGACGCGAAAATTATCAGCGCCAGGATGAGCGGCCTTGCTGCATTACACCCATAGGTGTCAGCGGAAAACGAGTGGTGAATGTCGGAGGACGCGAGGGCACACACATGAACTCACTGGCGCGCACATTGCAAGTCCAAGCGAGTGACATCGGCAGCTCCTACGTATGCAGGCTGCACCTTCGCGCTTCGTCCGTAGTGTGGGCTCCAAGTTATTTACACAGTATGGGGGCCGCCGTATGGCGCTGGACGACGATCTTTATATGATAGTGGCTATAGTCTGTAACGAAGGACGAAGCTGGATGAGCGACGAAATAAAATAGGTGTAACCATCCTACCAGAAGATTTGAGGCCCACGCGTCGCTATTCGAGTCCTCATCAACGAGCGGAGACTGGGAAGTGAGACCATGATGTTCAACTCTGCAACGATTTTGGACGCTGTTGTTCCGAAGCCAGAGTCCGAGTCGCAGTTGCCGAGAGACGTGTCGAATTCCCGGGACAGTCGGAGACGACGGCGGCTCCGACCTGGCCGGGCGAGTCTGCGTCTTTGGCTGCTTTAACGGCCCCAGGCAGGACTCGATGACCCTCGCTCAAAAGACCGGGCCCGGGCCAACCATCGAGTCATCTTGCGTCCCTCACACTCGTCCTCATCGATTCATCCTTTGTGCTCTCGACCGCTGGTGCCCGATCCAGCTGTTCTCTGGACGACGACAACTGGTTTGAACCAGGCAATCCTCTGTGGTATCTGGTAATGGGAACACTCAACTTCACTCTCCGACGCTCTGACTTCGCCTGTAGCCAATCCTCAAGCCATCAGTAGCATAAGTACCTTCATTTGGTCGTGATTTGGTTCGGTACGCGCCCGCCCCCATCTCGCACAGAGCGTTTGACCAGTGTCACATCGTCAGGTATATGGTTAGGGGGCGCTGGACGACGCCAGGTGTATGGTGCGCTGAGTGGCAGATGCCCCTGATTCGTTTCGGCGTTCGGGCTCGCGTACCGACCCATCAAGTCAATCCTGACACGTCCGATCTCATGTACGCCCATTTGTGCTTGTCAGTCAGCCTGCGCTACTATTTCTCAAATTTCGGTGCATATTTTGTACCAAGTGTGGACTACTCGTAAACCTTCGATCCTCCAAATTCTCTAGGCCTTCTCCAGTCACAGCCTACCTCAGCGGTGCACTGGGAATCTACATCATCACTGTCCTTGGCACTGGTATACGTCTGCTATGATTTCACATGTCATTCACACCCGCAGACTTTGTTTCTTCGATTTGGGTCATGGTTCGGACCTTGGACTAATTTGTACGTACTGCACATGTGGTGTACTTTCCCGTACCCTACTCTGTCTGCACTATGTGAGACTCAACTGTGCCCACCCATGAAAAGAAAATAGCCATGGTACGACATGTCGACTGTGCGTGAAAAAAACGGCAATATTCAGTCGTCGAGGGCGATACCAGTACCGCAGCCTTCGTCTGATAGTGTGGTGTA